GACATTTTAATTAGTTTGGCAAAACAAACGACAAACGCACTCAACAATTTGTTACCAGTTGTACAGTAAGGTGCACACGAAATGGGCTTTGAACAGTAGAACAGTAGAAAGGCATCATGGCACACTCACAAACTAGCATGTAAAACAACATGGTCTCTCCTCTCGGCTGGTTCTGGCTGCAGTAGTCTGTGTCCCCGCTCCCTCTGCCAACACAGGCGGGGATTGAAAAGGACACAGACCGCTGCAGCCAGCACCGGCGTGGAGGAGAGCTGAGGAGCAGATTGGCGGCTGCAACTAATCAAAAAGCAACTAATCAATGATGAGAATCACAAAATATCTGAAAAAGATTCATGTAAGTAGTCCCCAATCTGACAATAGGATCGAGGGCCTGAATATTCCCTCCCAATTTACCGACACCCTTATTAGTCTTCTACATTTCATATTTTCTATCTAAGCCCTTGGCTCTGTGATATACATATCGCAAGTATTGACCAACCAGAATGCTTTTTCGTAAAGACGGGGTGAGCACTGGTGGCCTCAAGAATGGTATTGCCAGCAGTGCTCTTTTGAAATAATTTGTTAAACAGTTTTCCTTCTCCTTTCTTGCATATTTTAATGCCCAAGAATGGGAGCTCTGATTCCTGGACATCCATAGTAAATCTCAAATTCATCTCATTATGATTAAGATGATCCAGGAATTCGCATAGAATTTCCCTCGTGCTGGTCCACATGATGAAAATATCTATGCACCAGTGCCATACCAAAAGAAGGGACAGCTACATAGAGGGGTAATCACGCAACCAAATCTCTTGCTCCATACCCCCCAGAAACAAGTTAGCATAGGAAGGTGCACACTTAGTTTCCATAGCGGTACCCTGTACCTGTAGATAATAATGGGAATTGAAAAGAAAAATATTGACTTCCTCTGAGGCGACGGTCTGTATACAGAGGAAGCCTCAGAGGAAGTCAATAGTGACGAAATGCATCAGGTGGGCGGATCTATGCGAGCATTACAATCATAGAGAAAGGAGCTCCCGTGGACACAATCCATGTGCAATTGCCTTTTTTTAATTGTAAGTGCATTTTAATCATTTTAAATACATTTATTCTGACATAACGTAATACACTATGGGAAGCCTTTTTTTCTCTCTCTGAGCACCAGAGAAGGTGGAAGATGGAGGAATAGTTTTACACAGTTTTGGAAAGATAAGCCAGAGTTGGGAGGAATCTACCCCAATTTATTGTCGGATTAAAAACAAAAGAGAGGATTTGGTTCTATATATCAACAAAGCGCTAATTGTTCCTCTGAAATATGGTGAGCAATAGGAATCGGTGAGTGCGGCCAGATCTTATCTTTGAGCACGGTGGAGATTGGAGAGCACTGATTCACTAATTGTTGATGCATTCACGATTCATGATTATAAAAGTTGGAAGATATATCCTCACATATTTCAAGGACTTTATTGTATCCAGAAGTAATGGACTTCACATATGGTTATGTAGATTAAGAGGGAGTTGTACTTCACTTGTGAGATTTAACATATTATTTTTTATATGTACACATTTTATGAAATGTACTAGCACATTTATTTATTTCTACATTATTGTGCTTTATAGTGTCTAACTCTAGACCATTAGACCTAGAGTTTTTTCTTACTATCATCAGCATAGGCATTGTGCAACACAGGTGTTGTGTATGACACAAAATTGTTTATCACTTTGTGACAATTTCACATTTCACACTATTTTTCTCACATTTTAGGAATACTATTTGGGTTTGTGAAGCGCAGTGCCATTTTCTTTTTTCCTATTTTGGGTGTACTCGCCTATTAAGCACAGCTGCTCTTTGAGTGTTATTTGATTCCTAGCGCAGTTTTTTTCTATCTAACATTACCACTTCAAAGTTTTCTATAGTTTTTTTCTGGACAGAATGTAAGGCCCTTTATGGGACTTCATGGTGAGATTGAGAGAATTTAGATGTCGTTAAATTCACAACTTGTAAGTCTATTTGAGAGGGCGTTTCAATAGGTAATGATCCAAATTCCATTTCTATGGTATTGTTCCTCCTCATGTTGCACCCAAAATCCTTTCCCTTTTGTCTATCTCCACACCGTCTCCTAAAAAAGGTTGGCGGGTGACATGCTCAAAATTGTCCGCCTCTCTCAAAATTTCAACAGTGGGTACCTCATCACTTTTGCTATTATATGGAGTTTGTATTTTATCTTTACTTCTTTCTTTACTTTGGCTTAGTCCCCCACTCTTTCCTTTTATACTTCTTGTTTTGATATCTTGTGATATATTTACCTTTTACTCGCACAGCTCCATCTTCTATCGATGAGAGTCCTGACTCAGTATCCTCTGAGGTAACATCACTAAACTCTTCAGTTTTTGGTCTAATTTTTGATCCGCCGAAAGAACTTTGTCTCCTCCCCTCCCATTTGTGTTTTTTATCCTTCTCATACTTTAGATCTTTTTTCTCTACTAAGTCCTTTGTGAATCTTTCTACATGAGCTTTTAGTTCATTTTGGCATTGCTCAAAATCATCCCTTTCCTTATATTTATGAAAGTGGACCAACATTTCATCAATATGCAGACTAATGTTTTTTATCTCAGTCTCATAATGTTCTATAAGTAAAATCATCATAGTTTTGCTGCATATATTAAAATTGTGTTCCCACTTTGTTTTTAAATCCTCAGTAATGTTTCTAATAATGGGAAAAATTTGTATTAATAGACCTTGTGGACAGGTATCACTCTCTAGATATTTCTCTTCTTTAGAGAAATGAATCGCTTTTATGCGATCTGACTAGCTCTATATGGACAAATTGAGGAGAGAGGAGGGAGATCGGGTACTGATTCTCAGTTCTCAGTGCACAGAGCCACATCGCCCGGGATGGATAGGGACAGCGACGGCAATCAGAGGTAAGGAGGGGGGGTGCACCTTCACTTCCATCATACAAGCGATCGGGCGTCTTCACAGACGCCGGACCGCTTGTATGTGAACGGCCATCGCTGGCCGTTTAAAATCCAGGCGATTTCCCGCTCATGCGCGCCAGGGAGCGCACGCGCGGGCACGAAGGACATCTAAAGACGCCCACCCGCAAGCAGGAGACTCCCGTCCGGCCGTCTTTCATCGATCGGCGGACGGGAGGTGCTACATTCAGCTCTATATGCTGGGTTGTCTACTTCAAAAGTATCCTTTTCCAACAATTCAGCTCCATATAGATACAAGTTTTTAGAAAGGAATCAACATTTGGATACCGTGGTGTTGAATTTATTTCATATATACATCTTTTGTGAAGTACAAACCTTTTTAAAAAAACTTTCAGGTGTCATCATAGTGATCACTACCACCTGAGGACTGCTTTCAGCGATCTCCATCTTGTTTGACCCAATGTGTATGTCCTGTATGCTGGTTTTCATATGAATTAACCATTTCCTTCAGTTTCTTGCATAGATATTGAATTGATCATCTATGTAGGATACACAGAGTACCTTTTCAGATCATGTGAAATATGATCCTGTTTTTAAATATGCTTTGTTAATAAATTTTGCTATTTTTATAGATATTAGTTTGTGTGTTATATTTTTCCCAGGGAATGTATCCCTTTGGGGGATATATTGTTTCTTTACTCCATAATTTGTACATAGTTGGCTATTTTTGCTGCACTGATGCTTAAAAAAATGCAGTTCGAGAACCTAAAAACGTCTGGAACAAAAGTGACAAGACCAAACCTGAACCTTCTGCTTACAACCATGAACACTTTTTAAGAGAGAAATCAGCAAGGCCTATAAGAGAAGCACACTATCTCTACCATGAAGCATGGAGGTAAGTCTGAACTGTTTTAGTGGTGTCTGAGCTACAGCAACACAGGGAGTTCAGTCAAAAGTGGAAAGATGAATGCAGATACAATTTCAGAAAATATTGGAGGAAAAATTTACCAGACCCGACATTCTGCAAGGGCTGTACTCGGACTTTCCAGCATGATAATATATCCAAAACATAATGCCAAACTGACCCTTCAGTGGCTGTGGCAGAAAAAAGTGAAGGTTTTGGAGTGGCCATCACAATCTCTGGATCTCAACATCATTCAGTTACTTTGGGGAGATCTAACACATGCAGTTCATGTTGGCCAACCAAAGAATTTACAGGACCTGCAGGCTTTTTGCCAGGAAGAATGGGCAGTTTTACTGCATGAGAATATAAAGGGTCTCATTCATAACTCTCACAAAAGGCCGCAAGCCATTATTGATGCTAAAGGGGGCAATGCACGATATTAAAGCAGAATGGACAACTCGTATCCTTTACAGTCAAGGAAGGTGCCATCTTAGCCTCTATATGGATTGCAGTTGCCATGGTGTTGCACATGTGATCATCTATGACACCGGCCATCTGAGGGCTTGAAAGTTCAGTTGAGAGCTGAAATAAGCACACTGGCAACCTTGACAGTCGGCATGCCTTAAAAGACCATTAAATTGGTGGGTCAAGTTCGAGTATCAAGAGGACCATTTTTTAAATTTCATTTATTGCTACGATTTATTTGAAGATTATTCTATTCTGTTATGGCCAAGAGTTTAATTTGGATTACATTAAAAATAAAAGAAATAATGTTTGGTCTGTTCCTTCATGTTTTCTTATACAATAGTCCACATCTTACAAATGTCAGGGGTATGTAAACCTATGAGCACAACTTTATTTGTTAAAAATTAAAACTGTAATGATGAATTTAGGAGTATTCTTCCTAGCCCTCTGAGATACAACCGGGTAACTTCTAGACTGCCTTCCCTTGCACGGAACAGCTAATGTAAAGTTCACCAACTTCACGTAGTCTGCCCAAGTACTTTTTTAGGACCTTTTAATGACATGGATTTCAGCAAGAATGTAAATGAAGGAAGTTAAAAGTCATATTTTCGTAGTCGAATTTTATTGAACACACCAGCTATATATTTCACAAGCTACAAGACGAAACTGTTGCACCACCAAGAGGTTGGAGGTGGTATTACATCTTCTCACAGTAGTAAAAGTTCCACCGTCTGTCCCTAAAAACAAAACACATTTGTTGAATTTGTGTCAGATAATAAAAAAGCGACAAGTGATGAGTGACTCCATTGTAGGTATATGGGCTCAGAAATGCCTGTGGTAAGGACTTAAACCCCCAGGAATATATAATTCTCTATTAAAACCCCAGGAATATATAAACCCTCCGACTTCAGCTTAATTGTGAGGGGTCAGAGGTCAGCTCTAGTCAGGGGCGTCCCGAGGCTGGTCATGGTCACCGGGTGACACCCCACCGTGACATCACCGCGCATGCTTGTGACATCACCATGCGCGGCGATGTCATTGCGCATGTGCGGTGATCTTATTGATACCTACCGGCGCCCATCTTGGTGATGGACACTGGCAGAGAGAGGAGGGGATGTTCACCCGCCGGGTCCCCTCCTTTCTCCCGAAACTGTCGGGTGCTCAGTCCATGACCGAGTGCCTGGTGTTTCAGAGGGGGGTGACACCAAAATGACTGTCAGTCATTTTGGTGTCACACCTCCAGTGGTGTCACCCAGGTGCTGTACCCCCCGCACCCCCCTTGTGACGCCACTGGCTCTAGTGTCAGGGTTACAATACATACTATATATATAGAGATAAAAAGAGAGTATGTTCATATATTATATTCAGGCAGGTAAGTACACTACATGTTTATTATTTCTTTACTGTGTTTTTTTTAATGGTTTTTCTTCAATAGAGGTGGTAATGGTGTTGGATATATTCCATTTCTATACTGTTCTCAGTAAGTTATCCTCATTTTTATACTTAATCTAGTAATAAAACAGTCAGCATTGTATATGGGTGGCCAGATCATGGTGTAGTGCTAGTATATGTTTTTTTTTTCCGGTCGAGTATACGAGTGGCTAGCACTGTGTATACAGTTTAGTGAGTCTGCATCTGGAATTAACCCAAAAAATGTTTTCCATGCTGATGGTTTTTCCACTTTTGTTATGGAAAAATCCATTCTCCTTTTTTTAAAAATAAATACATAAAGCTAAATAAGTTAAATGTAAATTTGGCCATGTATGGAGCAGATTTCAGCCGATTCCAGATGAACTGACCGTAATTTGAGCTGTTTGTGGCCCTGCCGTCACCCATCCACTCAACAAAAGTCGATTTTTCAATTGACTTTTGTTAAAGGAGCCGGTCTGATAATTTTTGCCTGAACAGTGCCTTCATTCGATCCATATGCAGGTACTGTCCAGGTATTCAGTAGCCACTGCCACATCCGGAGGGCTGCAGAGGAGGCTCAGAGTCATCATAGTAGTCTGTGCCACATACAGGAAGCTCTTACCCATTCCGGCAAGGCTGGAGCGACTTTCTCACTGGTACAGTGAACAAAGAGATTTGCTGTCTTGGTGCCTCCTCTATTCAGAAAACATGTTGTATTTGTTTCAATAGATACAAGGCATTCTCTGATTGGATGAGGTGGTGATAGTGACATCATCTGCCCCTCCTTTTCATCTCTTCTAACATCTTGTATTCATTGAAAAGAATACACGTGTTCTGAATGAAGGAGGTTCTGAGAAAGGGGATAAGTCGCTCCTGCACCGCTGGAACAGGAAAGTGCTTCTTGTATGAGGCAGAAACTACTATGATGATTTTTAGACTCCCCTGCAGTCCTCCAGATGTGATATTGATATATAAAAGTAAACAAGCTGGCCCGATGTAAATCTTAAAATAGATTATTCCTAGAGTTCAGCTTTAAGGTTCATGCAGTACTCCAGGATTGAAGCTGAAAGCTACTTTCATGTCAAAATATAATTAAAAACTTGAAGCTGGAGGTTTTTTTTGGAAGAGATTTGTATGACACTTCTGCCAAAAAACCTTTTACTCAAATGTTGCTACGGACCCTCCAATTAAAGATGGTTTAAAGTGACACTAAACTCCGGAGTTACCTCTTCAAAATACATTCAAGTACCCGAACTATTAACAAAAATGTATTTTATTTGTGTATCACTAGGCTGTAGATCCTCAAATCATCTCTGAATTGGTGCTGACACTGTCCTTCCTTCTGGAAGGTGGCTACAATTGTTCCCCATGGTCCCTGTGTGTGTTGTAAAGTCGCCACCGCTCCAAGCTCGCTCCTGTGATGTGTGACTACAATCTCACTTTTAGTTTACTAATTTGTATTGAGATTGTAGTCTATTGAAAGAAGTGAAATCCAATGAATGAAAGGGGCTGGGGAGAAAGAGGTTGGGTAATGCTGGATGTCCTCCAACCAGGAAATGAAGTGGGCTCTATCTGACTTGCTGCAGCTTCTAACGCAGGGGTAGCCAAATTCTGGCCCTCCAGCTGTGGTGAAACTACAAATCCCATGATGCATCTCTCTCCGGGAGTCATGTCTGTGGCTTTGAGAATCTTGCAATGCCTCATGGGATTCGTAGTTCCACCACACCTGGAGGGCCGGAGTTTGGCTACCCCTGCTCTAATGGATGATGTGAAAAGCTCACAGTGTGCAGTGAAATCAGAATAAGCAATTTCAGGCCAGGAGAGGGGCCGGTACAACTGTACAAGACTGAAACTAAGTCTGGGGATCAGCTTTAAAGTTCTGCTTTAGGGGCTTCAAGACAACTGCTATACCTAATGTTCTTCTGCTGGGAATTTGGTGGATGTCTTTTTTCAGTCTGACTGCTGTGTAAATAGGGGTAATGCACCCCAGAAAAGAGAAGTGGGAAGTAGACCTCAAAGCAATGAGCAAGGTGACCAGGAGGACATTTTCTCAATGGGGACACAGCAGTAAAACCCTGAGGTCGGGTTCACATCTGTGCACTGCAGTAATATGCAAACTGACTGCTATGGTACATGTGAAGTAATCTGAATGGTGTCTCCAGTCCTAAAACCAAACCATCAAGGATGTGTAAAACAGCCTCTCTCAACCTTTTTACCCAGGAGGAACCCTTGAAATAATTCCAGGTTTTAGGAAACCTCTGGTAAAAATGAGGATAGAGATCACTGATAATAACTACCTATATTGAATACTGATAATAGCTACCTATATTGAATGTCAGTGAGAAGATGCCTCCTTTACTTTGGTTTAGGCACCTTTTTTATTGTAGGAGGGACATCAATCTGTCACTGTTCAAGGAACCTCTAGAAATCTCTGAAGTTACCCTAGGGTTCCACAGAAGCATGATTGAGAAAGCCTAGTGTCTGACTGGGGGCCATCTTGGCTAGAAATGTACTATGACTAGAAGCAATATAAAATACATACTCTTTGCTGTTATCATGGTAGCTGTGTGCACCGGTCAGGTATGCATTAGCAGGCGCATCCCATCTCAAGTAGCCATCAAAGTTATTGACGTAACCACTCCACTTGCAGTTACGGGTAGCTTTTACCTCTCCTTGGCAGCAAAGGAACCTCCACCTAAAACAAATGACAGTTTGTGTCATGTAAAAATCGTTTTGTGGCAGAACAGAAGTTCAAGGAAGATTCCCTAAACTAATCACACAGAGGAACTGTCCCCAACTGTCTATTAATGAGTCTGTCTTTGTAAATACCACCATCAGGACAACAGGACGTGGCTATTGGAAAACATTACTAAAAACTGTTTAGTCTTAGCATCTAATTACTAGAGTGTGATTCACCTCCTGTCTTCCGCCTTGTTATCGTGGTAGCTGTCCACGCCGGTTATGACAGAGCCAAATGGGCAGGTGTAACTGAACTCTTGGTCAAAGTTATTGACGTATCCCGACCAGGTACAAGTCGCACTGTTGAAAGTGTTCTTACAGCTGAAATCCCACATACGGTCTTCACGACCATTGTCATGGATGCTGGGAGATGAAATGAGAGAGATCAACAATGAATGGTCCTTCCATATATACAAACACTGGTAAGATAAAACATGGTTAGATGAGGACTGTCAAGTGATATGTTGAATGTAAGCAGAAGAAACGTGTAAAAAGACCTTTCAAGAGTTCCTTTCATCAAACATTCACTCTAACTTGGAAATAATGGACCAAACTGATCCAAACCTCCATGACAGTTCCTGCGTGTTGCAATAAGAGGCTTATTATTACCTGATGACCATACTGATGCTCTGGCGTTGCTGACACTGAAAAGTGAGAGGTTGGTCATAAGCATTAACCCATCGTTCTGTAGGAAAGAGACAGAATCCCAAATTATTAACATGATAAAAAAACTAAGGCTGCACATTTATAAAATGGCTCTGTATCCCAATTCTGAAGAGCTTGTATGAAACAACTATTCACAGGGACATACTGTAAGTAACATCATAAATTTCTTTGAATGAGGTTTATACACAGGACTCTGTAGGCAACTTATATTATATATGTGCAATAAGGGTTAGATCGGGGATTTTTTTTTTTTTTAAGTCCATTAACATACAAAGTACCACCCAAGCCTGGAGATCTTTAGCCCTTTGTTAGGACAGACAATCCTGCACATCTAGTTTACAACTGATAATGAGGTCTGCCAACACAGTACAGGCAGGGTTAACTATGGTAAATATAACTCCCTAGCCTTAATATTACATATGAATAAAAAACTAAGAAACATTTTTCAGCAAGTTAAAAGGTAAACAGCAATTTTGAAATATTTTTGTAACAAATAGAAATTAGGTGTTATTCCAATTTGGCTGCAAAAGTGGTAATATGTTTTAAAGTAGCTCCCAGCTCCAACCTGAAAGATTTTAATGGGGGTATTGGCTATAGCTTTAACCACTTCAAGACCAGGTGTTTAGACCCCCTTCCTGGCCAGGCCATTTTTCAGTATTCAGCGCTGCGGTACTTTTACTTATTCCGTCATGCAACGCTGTACTGAAATTAATTTTATACCATTTTTTGGGGACAGATAGAGCTTTATTTCGGTGGTATTTAATCACCACTGGGGTTTTTATTTTTTACTATAATTAGGAAAAATTACAGAAAATTTGGGGAAAAAAAAGTTTTTTTTAACATTATGTTAGGAAACATTTATTATTACCCAGTTTTTTGGTAAAATATAAAAGATCGGGTCACGTCGGGTAAATAGACACCAAACATGTCAGGCTTTAAAATTGCGTGCACCCGCGAAATCGCAGAAAACTACCATACCCAAAATTGGCCATAGGCGACACTTTAAAAGCTTTTACTGCTCATCGGTTTAGTGTTATTAGTGATTGATGGCCCTAGAATTATTGCTCTCACTCCGACGTCCACGCTGATATGTAACATGTGCGGCGTAATGGGCGCAATCGTCTTTTTTGCACTTATGTGCCCCGACGCATGTTTGCATGCGTGTATGTATGGGTGGGGACTTTACATTTTTTTTTTGTTTTTTATGTGTAACTTTACATTTCGGAGGGGGGGGGGGACATTTTTTCCCCTTTTTTTCCCCACTAAACTTTATTGCTATCACATACGGGGTCTAATAAAACCCCCTATGTGATAGCAAAATATGTGACAGGTCCTCCCAAAAGAAGCTGATGAAGCACAGATCTGCTCCATCAGCTTCTTTCCAGCTTCTGAAGCTGGAGAGTGACACAAGAATGCGGAAGTGATGTATTATACAACACTTCCGCATTCTTGCAGAGGAGAGGGGACCGGAGGGAGCTCGTGTAACGATCTCCCTCTGATACCCTGTGACACAGGCGACATGCTGATCCCGGGCTCGCACCAGGCACAGCGGAGCCCCGGATCAGCGGGACAACGACGGGGGATGCAGAGGGGGAAACCGGTCAGCACCCCATACATGCGGCGGATCGCTTGTATGGTAACAGGCATCGCTGCGTGTTTTAAAATATCGTCCATTTCCCGCTCGCGTGGGCCAAGGGGGCGTGTCTGAGCGAACGTCTAAAGACGCCCTCTCAGATCTAGAGAGCTCCGGGCCGGCCGTTTTTTTACTACGGCCGGCCTGGAGGTAGTTAAAGAGAACCTGAGGCCAGACTATGCACACATATTCTGAACAAGCACTAAAAGCACTTTAAAACATGCCCACATTCATCTATGTAGCAATAGGCATTGTGGAAAAATTATTTTTCAAATCTCACAACAGTAGCACTAAAATAACATCTCCTTTCCACTTATTTTCTAAGGAGAGCAAAAAATTGGCAGCCTGCCAGCCCTTTAACATAAGCATACTGCAGATACTTCTAAGTAGGTAGATGCTTCTAAGCTGTTGGAATGCCAATACTGTCCCATCCGTTTTATACTTAGTAAACGCCACTTTCTTTTCATTAATGTGTTGTTTTACTGTTTTATTTAGCCATATTGGCTTTGTTTTGGATCTTTTACTTTTGTTACCCAACGGTATACACCTGGTAATAGCATTTTTTTATTCGTTCTTGAAACAGTCCCACTTTTGGTCAAAGTTTAGTTCATATTAAATAAGTTTTCCCATATCAATGAGAGGAAGCTGCCCATTAAAAAATATAAGATGGAGAGGACTGCATTGGCATTCCAGAGCTACAAGGAATGCAATAGGAGATGTAAAAGTGCAATGCGGGCCGCTAAAAAAATTATGAAAAACATATAGCCACAGTCAGTAAGAAGAACTCCAAAAAATGATTCCAATAGATAAACAGTAAAAAGGTAACAAAGGAGCAGGTAGGCCCAATAAAAGATGAGAACTGGAGATTAATCACAAATGACAAGGAGAAGGCTGAGGTAATAAACTCATTTTTCTCCTCAGTATACACTCAAGAAAAAGAAAGATTTAATGGACATAATAAGAATGTGAGTAGCTTAGTGCGCAGTGGTTGATGGTAGCGGGGGTTCAGCAAAGACTAAAGAAACTTAGTGAGTAAATCATTAGGACCAGATAACTTGCACCCCAGGGTACTTAAAGAGCTCAGCCAGGTTATAGCGAGACCGTTATTCCTCATTTTCAAGGACTCGTTAATGACTGGAAGGGTACCAAGTGATTGGCGTAAGGCAATGGTAGTACCAATATTCAAAAAAGGTTAAAAATGCCAACAATGGAACTACAGACCAGTCAGTCTAACATCAATAGTATGCAAACTGTTTGAGGGAATGATAAAGGACTATTTAAAGGATTTTGTTTGTGGCAATGGTATAATAAGTGATAATCCGCATGGATTTATGAAGGACCGTTCTTGCCAGACAAACCTACTAACATTCTACCAGGGGGTGAGTAGAGATCTGGATAGAGAAAGGCCAGTGGATGTGGTCAGGCCCGGCGCTAGCGCAAGGCAAGTAAGGCGGCCGCCTTACGGCGCTGCAGGTGAAGGCGGAAAAAACAGGGCATTTTGACAAGTACTAGTACTTGTCAAAATGCCCCGATGTTTGCGCTATGTTTTTTTTTTTCCACTTACCTTCGGTGCGGGAGAGCAGCGGCGAGTCAGCGCTGGTCCGGTGGGAGGAGCTCCAGGTGGGGTCCTAATTTAGCTGGCCGGCGACTGCCTGAGGATCCCGACACGCGCGGCACCTCAGGCAGTGGCCGGCCAGCTAAATTAGGACCCCACCTGGAGCTCCTCCCACCGGACAAGCGCTGACTCTCCGCTGCTCTCCCTTACTGAAGGTAAGTGAAAAAAACAAAACATAGCGCAAACATCGGGGCATTTTGACAAGTACAAGTACTTGTCAAAATGCCCTGTTTTTACAGGGGGTTGGAGAGGGGGGCGCAAAAATGCACCTTGCCTGTGTAAGCAAGAATGCCAGCACCGGCCCTGTATAGGCTGCAGTGGTGGTAACACCATAAAGTGGTGGAGATTCGGGCACCATGTCTCAGAGTGTGCACTGCAGGGGGCACCCTCCAGAAACATCACCCCCTTCCCTCCCACCCACACTGGCTGATTGACAGCATAAAACCTTCTTGTGCCTTGTCTACTACCATGCTTTGCGGAGCAAATCTTCTTCCAGTGTCACATGACTACATCACATGATACCAGCCTGATCCTCTGGAGAATACCCTCCTCTGAGGCTCCATCCTCCAACACAGGAAGCGGACCAGCGGGGATCATGAAACCAGATTTTTAACTCTTCTTTGCTCTGGTACCTTGGCTTCCAGTAAAACCTATGGCACATTCCTTTTGGAAATGCAGCAGCATATACTGACATTTACTGATTGTATTACTGACTTCATTAGGTCTTTTTAGCTGTAGATGGCAGTATAGTGCAATGTTAGTCTCACTGTGAATGCTTATCTATGATACACAGAAAGCTGTTTTTACTCTCTATATGTTTTCCTGCACAATAGAGCATTCCTCAAGATCTCTGTGCTTCATCCAAACACATAACGATTAATTTTCACACAATTCAGTTAAAAGGAGCGCATTTTCTTTCTTTTAATTTGTGCAATACTTTGTCTTCTCAAGGAACTTATTTGAGGGTACGTCTACTCAAAAATCTAATTCTAGTATTGGAAGGATACTGGCAAGTTATATAATCACAAGATTTCTCATCTTTCTTGAACCCCAAAGACTCTAACCTTCTGTCACGATCTTACCTTGCGGCGCTTCGCCCGTACGTCCCGGCTCCTCCTTCAGCATCGCCGTCATCCTTTGTCGCTACAGACGCGACGGCCCACTAGACGCCGGCTCCCTTGATAAAACAGAGGGAGATTCAATTGCTCGGCGTTCAAGCAAGGAGAATGAACATTGAGCAATTGCTCCCCTGTGTGCTGCACCTCTCTCCATCCTCATTTTGGGACAAGTTATGCTGGTCATGCTGAGCACTACAACTTAACCATTGGAGTTCCAGGGACCTTTATTCAGCTGTACCTGCTGTGCAAACCGCAAGTAACCTGTAGTGATTACAGGGCATTCCACTATCACTGTAACTTGTGCATATACTCCTGTATACATTATCATCTGAAACCAGGGACTATCTTCAATACTTAGTGATTGAGTTATACTGACACAGTGTATTGGCTAAACTTGTGCTTAACCACTCATTAGACCCCACACTGTACGTTAGCTGGAAAGCAACCACTCCTTATCTAACTTACTTTGTGATTGACATCTCAGAAAATTGATACCTCTGTATGACGATAATACAGAGGTATATGGTTTATAGTTATACTGGTGGTATATGATATTTGTGGGAGCTACGCCCCCTCTTCTCCACTAATGAGGGTTATAGTAGCATCCCCAGCCTGATCCACCTACTTATCAATGAAGGCTGTAATAAATAAATCCGCAGCTGTGATCCTAAAGTGTTATAAGGCCCCATTTACACTAAGCGACATACCTCACAAGTGGATTTCCTCGCGACGGGATAGCGCAACTGGCTGGGCGACATTCCAGCGACGATCGCGCGACCTTCGCCATCGGGCTGCATTAAAAAATAGAAAAATTGCGCGACATCCGCGGGAAAAAGGGTCCTGCTGAAGCGACAGCGACAAGCGACGGGCGACATAGAGCTGTACATTAGAACAGCTCCATTGAATAACATAGGCCAATGACTTCTCGCGATATCGCGCGGCGAAAGTGCGCGATTTATCGCTTAGTGTGAATGGGGCCTTAAGCTCAAACATTACACCTTCCCTTTCCAACACTAAAACCATTAAAAGAGTGTCCCTCAGTGGTACATCGGTCTCTGTACAGAGGAGCTTACACTCTAATGTCCCCCCCCCCCACAGTAATACACTATTATTATACATTTATATAGCTCTGAAATATACCACAGTGTTGTACAGAGAAGTCACATCAGCCTCTTCCATAGGAGCTGAGCTTACACTCTAATGCAGAATACCATCAGCTATAGAGGACTAAAAATCAGAGCAATATATCCAGCAATGCAGAATAACAGTATATGAATTTGGTACATACTCTATGCTGCCACTCTGCTCCGGGGTAACAGCCTGAAGTCTCGGCCAAAGGTTCTCAGGAGGGGAAGAATGGCAGCCGGCAGAAGCCCTGTAAGAAGGCGCCGCGTTGTTCCCCAGAAGGCTGCTGCGCGGGACCTAACACAACTGAATCCATTTGAAAAATAAAATTTCCGAGTTTCAGAGCTCACTTGTAACGCAGAGGTCAGTAGTGTAATGCAGAGTACAGAGGTCAGCGGTGTGATGCAGAATACAGCAGTGTGACGCAGAGGGCAGAGGTCAGCGGTGTGACTTATAGTGCAGAGGTCAGTGGTTTGCCGCAGAGTGCAGCATTGTGACGCACTGTGCAGAGTTCAGCAGTGTGATGCAGAGTGCAGAGCTCAGTGGTGTGACTTACAGTGCAGAGGTCAGCAGTGTGACTTACAGTGAAGAGGTCAGAGGTGTGACGCAGAGGTCAGCAGTGTGATGCAGAGTGCAGAGGTCAGCGGTGTGATTTACAGTGAAGAGGTCAGAGGTGTCGCAGAGTGCAGAGGTCTATGGTGTGACCTACAGTTCAGAGTTCAGTAGTGTGATCTACAATGCAGAGGTCAGCAGTGTGATCTACAGTTCAGAGTTCAGTGGTGTGATCTACAATGCAGAGGTCAGCGGTGTGATCTACAGTGCAGAGGTCAGGGTGTGATGCAGAATGCAGAGGTCAGCGGTGTGAGCCCCCCTGAGACCTGGCAAAGCCCCCACAGATCCTGCAGGATCTCAGGGGGTCTCTGCAGGATCTGTGGCGGGCTTTGCAGGCTGCAGAGCCCACCATTGGATCCTGCAAAGCCCACCACAGATTCTGCAAAGCCCCCGGAGACCCAGCAAAGCCCCCCACCGATCCTGCAGGATCTCAGGGGGGCTCTGCAGGATGTGTGGTGGGCTTTGCAGGCTGCAGATCCTGCAAAGCCCTCCTGAGACCCTACAGTCTGCAGGATCTCAGGGGGGTTGTGCAGGATCTGTGGTGGGCTTTGCAGACTGCAGAGCCCCCTACGGATCCTGCAGAGCCAACCAAAGAGTATTGCATGCACACCCGAGACTCTTTGGTGGGCTGTGCAGAATCTATTTTGGGCTCTGCCAGCACAGTCCTCTTACCTTGCACGGCCTGACCTCTTTGGAACACGGCCTCCTTGTCCTCGGCACCCGACTGGATGGCCTCCTCATCCTCGGCACCCGACACGGCCTCCTTGTCATCTTCGCCGCCCGACTGACTGAAGCTCCCGCGACGCCTCCTCCGTCGGTGTCTCTTCCGTCTCTGGGCCACTCGACAAATGTTTTTCTCCAATGGGGCCGCTTGCCACATTTCATACTTTAGAATAAAACTTAACTATATCCAGTTATCCAGTTTAAGTACTACAGACACTAATACACACTCACAATAAGATCCTATTCATATCTGTAGGTTTAGGTGCATCGTTGCATCCCTAAACGAAAGTATTCACAATGGCCACCCATGTAACGAAGGTATTCACAATGACCGCCAATGTAACAAAAGTATTCACAATGACCGCCAATGTAAAGAAAGTGTTCACAATGATCGCCAATGTAAAGAAAATGTTCACAATGAGTGACCGCCAATGTAAAGAAAGTGTTCACAATGAGTGACCGCCAATGTAACGAAAGTGTTCACAATGAGTGACCGCCAATGTAACGAAAGTGTTCACAATGACCGCCAAAGTAAAGAAAGTGTTCACAATGACCGCTAATGTAAAGAAAGTGTTCACAATGACCGGCAATGTAACAAAGTGTTCACAATGACCGCCATTGTAATGAAAGTGTTCACAATGACTGCCAATGTAACAAAGGTATACACCATACATATGCTTAAACTTACCTTGTTCTTGCAGTCTTCAGGCAGTTTTTTCTTCTCTAGCAGCGGGGGAGCAGGGCGGTGAAATTATTTACATATGAATGGGTTTGTGGCTTATTGATATGCAAATTACAGGGGCCCATTCATATGCTAATATCTCGGCCGGGACAGTGCTTCCTGCAGCAAGCTCCGGGGAGACCACAGAGCAGATAGAGCTGGGTGAGGAGGTGTTTTTCCGCCCTCGCCCACCAGGCCCTCTAGCGGCTGCTTGTGTGGTAACGTCGGCTCTGCTCAGAGCCGACCATAGTGCATAGCGGACCGGCCCAAACACAATTCAGATCGAATGTGTTCGGCCCGGCCCGGCCCACCGGGCAAGTGCCCAGTTTCCCCTATGGCCAGTCCGTCCCTGCTTGTGGTCGACACAGCAGTTACAACCGAATCAGCCAAGATGTTAATTTTGTGTCTACAAAATACATTATTCATCTTATACAGCTACTAATATTAATAAATTAAAAGTTGATTGATAGAGGGTATATATCCAAAAAGGAACCTGGAGTCTGAATCCACAGTCTTCTTACATTGTCTAGGGCAGGGGCGCCCACAATTTTTCGTCTGGAGATCTACTTTTCACATGACGAGCTCAATGAGATCTACCAACGAAAAAAACACCTGCGTTCAGGGGCGGGAGGGGGCTTGGCGGTGCATTGAAGTCAATGGCACCGCAGCCAGGCCCCTTGCCCACAGTGCGATCGCCTGCACCCGGAACCCAGGCACGTCAGTGCCTGCGTTCCGGTCCAGTGCAATACGCAAAAATGCTGCAAGCACTGTTTTTGCAGATCACACTGGACGGGAATGCAGGCACTAATGTGCCTGCGTTCCGGGTGCGGGCGATCGAACTGTGGGTCGGGGACATGGCTGCGGTGCAACCCCACGCCCCCTCCCGACCCTCATGTGCTCATGTGACCGACGTTGCACACGGGGAGAGGTGTCTCGCCCCTTTCGTCTGCAGCGTCTGACACATTCAGCCGGCAGCCGCACGATCACCGCGGGAGCATAGCCCTAGCCAGCTCCTTTTGCGCATGTGGCAAGAAAAAAAAAGTGCCCCTTAACAGGCGTGTGACGTCACCCAGCGCTCTGCCTCCAGGATATTTTATTTTATTTTTTAGACATGTGCGATTCGTTTCGTTACGAATCGAAATTCGTACGAATTTTCCTGAAATTCCGAATTTCGGAGCATCCGAAATCCGAATGGCAGTTTCCGAATTATATCCGAAATACGAAATTCCGTTAACGAATTTCGGATCCGAATTTCTTTGAAACAGGAACTAATATTACCCCTGTAAATGAGGTTGAACAGCATGACAAGATTTTTTTTTAATCCGAGATACGGATCCGCTGCTGCTGATGCATTACAATACACAGTTACAAACACAGGCAGGAAATACGAAATTCCGTTGACGTATTTTCGTTCCGTTACGAACATTCGTTATAATAAAGTTAAAAAGCAAAGTACATTTATATTGGAGTTGATGGTAGTTTTTTTTTTAAAGTCCGAAATACGGAATTCGGAATACGGAATCCGTTAACGGAATTCGTATTTCGTTTTGGTTGACCAATCAGAGGTTCTCTTCTGCTGCTGAGAGTTGCATTACAAATACAGGCAGGAAATACGAAATTCCGTTGACGTATTTTCGTTCCATTACGAACATTCGTTATATTGAAGGTAAAAAGCAAAGTACATTTATATTGGAGTTGATGGTAGTTTTTTTTAAAGTCCGAAATACGGAATTCGGAATACGGAATCCGTTAACGGAATTCGTATTTCGGATAAAAAAACAACTACCACTCCAATATTAACAAAGGTATTTTGCTTTTTAACTTCATCATAACGA